TGAAAATGTGAATAATACAATGCAGCGAAATTAAGAGTAAATAATACAAGAAAGATTGTTCATAGATTAAAACAAAAACAAAAGGCAAAAAACAAAAAACAAAATTAAACAAAAAGTTTGCGCGAATTGAGTCTGATTGAGTGTTCAATTCCGGTCTCTTGTTTTTAATGTGGAGCATTTCGTAGATGAGACATTCCAGCTTCCCGCGGCATTTCTTTAGAACCCTGAAATGTTCCTGCAAATTTGATGGTGTCTCGTTGTGCTCATCTCGAAGATGTTTTCCGATCATGGCGGAATATTTATGTTCAGCAATGCGTTGAAAGAGGTGTCGGCCCGTGTAGCCAACGTAACTTGCATCACACAAGTCGCATTTAAATTCGTATACAACACATTGTTGATTCACCAGAGGGGAGTTAATTTTAGTTCTACTATTTCCAGTCCTGTAAGTCAGTTTGTGGAAGTTCACGGGTTTGATTTTTTTTCTATGAGAACTAGGAAATATTTTTAAGAGTTTGCTTGTACAATATAACTCTGACTTTAAAATGTCTTTCTCATAATTTACAGTGTGACGCGCCTTAGCATAGCCACCCAGCAAACTTGTTTACAAGTTAACCGTCAGGGAGCGCAAATTTGTTTGACGGACACGCCTCCTTGTAAAGTTGAACACGATCAAAACTTTTTACATTGTATTTATCAACAAAAGTTATAATATTATGAGAGGACACTTGTAAAATGTTTGTTGGGTGGCTGCGCTAAGGAGCGTCGCACTGTAAAAGAGTTGATACATCTACAGTTGAACCTCTCTCCAACGGCCACCTTGGGGTCGAAATAACTGGCCGTTGTAGAGAGGTGGCCGTTGTAGGGAGGTTCAATTAGATGTATGTATCGGTGTACGGTTGGGACAAAAAATCCTGGCCATTGTAGAGAGGTGGCCGTTAGTGGAGGTTCGACTGTAGTTGCTTTCTGGCCACAAAATATGTCTAAAGTTGTAAATTCTCCACATTATAGTTGTCTGGCCTAACTTTGTGTTTTCATTGAATTTCAATACTTGTTCTAAACAGATTTTCGAGAAGAAACCTCTGAGGATCAAGAACTTTGGTGTTTGGCTGCGTTACGACTCTCGCAGTGGAACTCACAACATGTACAGGGAGTACCGTGACTTGACTGTGGCTAGTGCTGTCACATCCTGCTGTAAGTACGAAGATCTGAAACTGTTATAACTGCAATTTCCCTGTGGTTTTGACTGTGATGCATGATGATGTAATGTTTTAGTGTGTCAGACTCAGGATATCAGCATTGAGAGGTTTTAGTGCTGGCTGAGGTCATTGTGTTGTTTTCTTGGGCAGGACAAAAGCCAATTAATGCTAATCCAGAATTAATTAATTAATCCAAGTTTTCTTGCATAAAAATTTTTTTTTTTTTACTGCTAATGTTTGCTGAGTTTGACATTATTCAAAATCAAAATGAAAGAACTAAATAACTGGATTCATGCTTTGAACAACCAGGCCCAGGAATATAAATGGGTACCGGCGAATTATTAGCCAAAGGGCAACTCACAAAACCTGGGGGGTAACCTGCGATGGACTGTCCCTAGTACAGTAAAAACCCGCAAGTAAGAACCTAGTTTTTAAGAACCTGTTAGGCTAAAATTTGCCAGTTAGACCCCCTCTATACAAGAACCTGTTTAGCCTAAAATTTGAAACAGGTTCTTATTTTCTAAAATCTATATTAAAAAATGTGTACACTTGGGCAAATAAGATAGGTCAACATTTTGGATCCTCTTTGGAGACACAGTCAGTCATTTTTACATAAATACTTACTTGGTATGCAGATTTTATATAAGGAATAGGCTGAATACCACTAAATTCTATTAGCTACAATGTAATTTTTTCTTCAGAAAATAAGAACCTATTTAAGAACCTAAATAGCCTAAATTTGTGCTAATTACCATTTATGTAAGAACCTGTTTAGGCTAACTTGGGAAAATGCAGGTTCTTACTTGCGGGTTTTTACTGTATCCCATCCTGGGGAGTAGCAATATTACCACTCACTTTATGCTACAGAAACCTGGATAAGCTCTTAGCTGTTGCAAAGCTCTCCATAAAGATATGCAAGTCACCTCCCCTACCATATAGAAAACATTTTCCGTATTTCCATTGGTAACACGAGTGAAGTTTGGGAAAACGAGAAATGCTGTGGAAACAGCAATTTCGAGTTCTTCCAAGCTTTCAGGAGTGTTACCATAACTCTATGGAAACACAGGGAAAATGTTTCCTATTGTTGTTATGAAATAAAAGCACAAAGCAATTTTCTATGTTTCCGTAGAGTTATGGTAAATGGTTTTGAGCCAATCATAGCGCACATAGTATCTTGTTTATTTTATAAAAAAAGTTAACACTCTACTGATTATTTTTTATGTACAGATCGGGATATGGCTGCTCGGCATCGTGCACGAGGGTCAAGCATTCAGATCATGAAGGTTGATGAAATTCCAGCCAGCAAGTGCCGAAGGCCACATATCAAGCAGCTTCATGTAAGCATCCATTATCTTTTCATTCCTGACTCTCCATATCCTGGTGAAATAGTAGCAAGATTCTTCTTTAACTGCCTTGTTAATCGTTTGATCACCAACCTATTCCTGTTTGTAATAAACTATAACACGGTGATTTCTGAAATAAATAATACTGTCGTCAGACGACAGCATTAACTTTAATTAATAAAGGTACCTGCTTTTGGCAGGACCATGACTTGGGTCGTGTTCTATTGGGATCAACCATTTTAGGTTGGTAGGGTTGGGTTTTTTTTTCTTTGTGTTCTATTGGGAAAAAAAACACATTTTTGGTTGGTTTGGTTGACCAACCTTTTCAACCGGTATCAAACTAGGTTGACACGGCAGGCCCGTAGGGAGGGGGGTGCGCACCCCCCCCCCCCCACGGGCTGTGGAGGTCCACCTATAGTGGACCGACGGTTCAAAAGAAAGTGAAATAGTAGTGAAATAGTAGTGCTTGTGCTCTAATTCGATAACTGGACAGGTGTAGTTTGAAAATGAAGTCTGAATAAAAACAATCGCAGCTTTGAACGTGTTTACATATCGTCTTCATCGACAAAGACAACACATCAAGCGAGTCATTTTCTTCATCTAAATCTTCACTCCTTTGGCCTAAAAAGTGTCTTTAATCGAAGGTCTGCAATATGTATTTTTAGTATTCTTTCATCGATATGTTCTTTTACTGAACAGTTCCCGAAATATTCATGTTTTTACGTTCGCTTTTGGCTGCCTGGTTTCATATCATACTGCCTTCAAAACGCACAAAATGCAGTCTCAGACAACCTTATCTTTCAAAATTTCCTGGACCCCCCTAGTAGCTCGCGCCTTCGGCGCTCATACGATCCCAACTTTTCATCTCTAACGCACCCCCTCATTCAAAATCCTGTCTACGGGCCTGCACGGTTGCAACCATTTCAACCAAAAACAGTTGGAAAAGTGTTTTATTGGGAAACCTCAACGGTTTCAACCCAAACCGGTTGCGGTTGAAACGGTTGATCCCAACAGAACACGACCTTAGTGTTCATCGCATATGAGAGGTGTCTGCCTATGGAAGATGGCAGTCTATCAACAGAGCTTAGACTGTACAGCATTATTTTGTATTTTCAAAATCAAAATACAGTCAAACCTCTAATCGACATCTCCCGTAGGCGGACAATTACATGTAGTCATGGTTCCAGCCACATACATGTACAAACACTACATTGTTAACCTCCCATAAGGGAACACCTCTCCTAAGTGGACACTTATGCTCCAAGGCTGTCCGCTACAGCTACCTGTACGAATGTACATTTATTTTTTTTATTTTTTTTATTTTTTTATTTAATTTTTTTTTTTTAAACTTTAATTCATACCCAGACAGCTGATTGTTGTTTATGTTCTGTTTGTGTATGTTTACAGAATTCAAAGATCAAGTTTCCCCTGCCTCATCGTATCATCAAGTCTCACTACAAGTCTAAGTTTGTGGCCAAGCGTCCCAACACGTTCTTTTAAAGACGATGAAAACTGACACTGGGAAGCTAAAATAAAATTGATCTCATAACGCTGTACTTTAGTTGTGTTTATTTTCTTGTCACACATGCCGGGGGGGGGGGGGGGGGGACTCCCATATAAAAGTGACGGGGGTGATCATCGGAAATTTAGAAAAGAACCCTAAAAGGTACCAGAATCTCGTTTTGTGGGTGTGGCTCAAATTAATTTTTGCCCCTAAGAGGTACCAATAATTATTCTAAGACAAAACTATAGTTCTTGTCATATTTTTTTTCGGCTTATACCCTAAAAGGTACCAGAATAACTCTGACGGTAGTCATTTTAGATTTTAACACCCAAAGCGGTACCAAACCACGAATTTTAACCCCTAAAAGGTACGTACGATGATCACCCCCGTCACTTTTATATGGAAGTCCCCCCTCCCTCCCCCACATGGGTCACATGGCCTGAGAAAGCAGAGATAGTTCATTACATGCTCATTATTGCTCATTTCCTCCGCAAGAGAGAGATTGAAATTCGAGCCCCCAAAATATATTGATGACGTAGCATGACAAGATTTGTGTGGTTTCTCTGAATGATTTTTTGATTTCCTGTGTGCCAGTAACAACCAATCAGAGAAGCTCCTCAGATCTTTGTAGTGCAATGTTATCGATATGCAAATGTTCAGCTTGTCTCTATTATGGATGAAAAAAAAAAACCCTTTATTTACTGTAATGTCAGTGGACTTAGCATGACTGTGCTAATTGTGGACACTGTAGAACCCCACTAACTCGAACTCCCCACTATCTCGAACTTAAACCCCTTGCCCTTGTTTTTCAGTCATTTACTATCGGTTAACTAGAACCCCCGCTATCTTGAACTATTTTTTGTTTCCCTTGGAAGTTCGGGTTAGCGGAATTACTGGCTTTTTACAAACCGTAACCGAGGAGTTGAACTCAAGACTACCGAGAACAAATCCAGCTAGTGGTAGGGTGAGGATTTGAACCTGGGACATCCAGATTTCAAATCCAGCGTCCTTACCCACTCAGCCATGCCACCTCCTCAAAACGTAAAGTGAGTGCACAATGAGATATATCTGTTTCTCAGGCTACTTGTTGCTGTCGGCAGTCTTTCTCCGTCCTTACTCTCACCACTGACATCCCTTCGCCTGGATGTTTTTTATAACCAGTGGGGCTGTGACCTTTTTACATCTTCTTGCCAATATTTGGCCCACTGATATGTAGACTGTTCACAGCCTCACTATAAATCTCAGATAGAGAGGCTGTGAACAGTCTAACTGATGTGCAGATCAAGGAACATAATTTACTAATTGACTCAGAGAGCCTGGGAACGAGTTGGCCGAGATTTTTATAGCATATGCTATAAATATAGTATCATCTTTATAGCATTTTATGCTAGAAACTTGATCTTTATAACTAGCCAGAATCAAGGCAATCGACAACTCGTCGTAACGTTTTGTCGTCTATTTATAAAGACAACGGAATAGCTGTTATTAACCGGGCAAGGCCTGAGGCCGAGCCCGGGTCATAATTCAGTCGAAGTTTTTTTTTTATGCGCTTCAGGAAATGCACGATTTTTTTATGTAGTGCCGGACTAGGCCCAGACCTCCACTCGTTTGACATGACGCAATCGCATTCAGTCTAAAATTAGCCACCAGATAATTTCTCTTCCACAGGCATTCTGTATAATTTTTTCCTACTTTTAGAGAAAATGTCGATTTTCGTGTCGTGTAAATGCTCTTTTCATGTAAAGAAACAAGCGAAATATTTAATTAGACAAGGGAAAATAACAGTTTTTCGTCATACAATTACAGATGTCATCAATTTATTTACGAGGAAAAACGCATGACTGACCTTTTGAGAACATGACGCAATTGTCTAGAGGGATTTTCCCATTACATGGAACGAAGCCAGGAGACATGCAAATAAATAGCCACTAGAGAATTTCTGTTCTGTTTAATACATGCACCTTAACCAGTAGACGAACGATAAAACCCTGTCCCAAAAACATAACAGTTTTTCTATCTTAACACAATTCCACTGCACTGATATATGTCATTCACAATTTATTTTGACGTTGAGCGAAAACACATATTTGCCCTCGTTGAATATGATGCAATTGACATTAGCTAAAATTTTCTACACAGTAAACTTGACCTAATTTCAAGCTCAAACTTAAGCTAGCCAAAATATTGCATCACGCGCGCAGTCACGTTTTTCGTCACGCAGGTTCGAAGTTGACTCTTAGATTTGGAGGGGGAACCTCAGAGTACACTGACCGAGGGGGTGGAGGGGTGCATTGTTCTTTCTCCCCTCATGGTAAAATCAGCCCTGGGGGGGGAGGGGGGGGAGGGGGGGGGGGAGTACTCCCAAAAAAATTGGGTGGGGTGTGCCGCTAGGCTATAAAAATCTTTACCCTGTACCAGAGCACAAAACGCTAATTTTGCGACCCTGTTCCAGACTAAATGTTGAAAAAAGATACCTTGTTCCAAACGATTTTCTTACTAACCAAAAGGCTAAACTATAAAGCAGCACTGCGAGTTGTAGTTGTAAAGCTTCTTTAACACTCCTACGCGTTTCGTTTCGTCTGACTAGTCATCTACCCTATTCCAGAGTATCAATTACCGATCTTCGTGCCAACTTCTGGGAAACTGATACCCTGTTCCAGACCACAAAAGGCCTATTGGTATACCCTGTTCCAGACCAAAATGCTCAAAAACCATACCCTGTCCAGCGGCACGTACCTATATAGCGTATATAGGAAGTGCCCCCCCCCCCTCCCCCAGGGAGATCGGCCGCTTGTAATCCCTTTAGGGGTTCTTGTTTTAAATACATTTTCTCTCTTTATCTCTTTAGTTTTTCAACTATGAGAAATTGTTTGTCCATGTGATTTATAGAAGGACCTAAATCTGTCACCAAACCATGTTTTATCGATTCGGTTTCTTCGCAAGCGCGCGAAATATGATTTTAAATCTGAAATCCGAAAACAAGAGAAAGTCTCATCGGTGTTTTTCGTGGTTCTACTGTATTTGTTTATTTGACAGTTGAACCCACTCGTATTTAGCTCGTTATGAATATTACACTATTAAAACAAGAAAATATGAGAAATAGAAATCACTTGTTTTGCACAGGAAAAGCGGTTGATTGAACGGGTAACATATTGTACAATTTGTTATCTCTAGTTCAGTGGTGGTAAGCGCGGGAAAACATGCAGCTGGATACAAGCGCGGGAAAACCGTGTAACCAATTGAAAGCGCGGGAAATTATGTAACTGAGTGCAACCGCGGGAAAACATGTGCGCGGTAAACATATAACCAGTGGCAAGCGGGGGAAAAAATGTAATTGCAACCAGTGGCGAGCGCGGGAAAAGTCGCGTGTCAAATGTTTTGGTTTTCCACTTGATTGGCTGAAAAGATAAGATCTTCGTTCTGATTGGTTGGGTAGAACGAAAATAAATATTGTGACGAGTGACATTGTAGAATAGTTTTACTGAAATTTTGGTAAAATTTAAATAATTCTCCTTGACTCCATGGTATTATAAAGCGTGTAAATTTAGATTGATGTAGTCCTAGCCGAATGGTTTTAGCAGCAGACATGATAAATTACCGTTAATACCCAGAAAGGCGTTAATCGAAATTACTATAACAGCAAACGACAAGAATTGTTTATTTCAACACGGATGTTATACATACATGTGCATCTAATCATTAAACAGTGAAATTATAATATGTACATGTTAAAATTGGAATAATTATCAACAATTAAAATGACTTAAAAAGAAAAATTAATCAACTCAAAATTAATATATTTTTGGCTCCGGCTAAGGGCTAACGCTAAACGTCAGCTTTTCAAATTCGCTACGGCGGTTAATTTACCTTTATCAACTTCAAGTTGATAATTAACTAAGCAACTCTGAATACAAATAGCGAAATATATTACCAACGCAATATAAATGGCTTAAGCTTAATTATCCGTATAATATTTGTAAACATATTTAAACTAGCAGCATTACTGGTATTCGCCAGTAAATTGTTTCGAATGTGGCGACAACAGAAGTAAAAGACACTTTTGACATTTTGAACACCTCCCACCCTCCCCCGCTCAGTTTGTTGCGTATAACACACTATTAACACATCATAAATGAACAACAGTAATCAAACTTATTTTACACAGGGAAGTCATTTGACTGAACGATCATAGAGAAATTATTTGTCCATCTGCTTTATAGAAGCACCTAAATCTGTCACCAAACCATGTTTTATCGGTTCGGTTTTTGGTGAAAGCGATGAACAAGATCACGAGTAGGATTTCCATCAGACTGGATGATGGAAAAGTTGATCCCGCGCAGAACAATTTACAAGAGACGATAGATAATAGAAGAAAATTGTGATATTTGAATGAACATGAAACGAGATGCATTAGCCAGTTGTACTATTGGTATCACAGAGAGCGTTTATGTCAAAATACGAGTACAAACTACTAATACTGACGATTAAAACACTGATCTACTTCAATATGTATACTTTCTTAGCGTTTTCGCTAGTTACAAGAATACGTCCGTCTGGCGTTGTGGCTATTCTAGTAGGATCTGGTAAATGAGTGATAGTTTTGCCTGTGAAGCGACCGTCTAGAGAAAATTGCTGAACTCGGTTATTGACAGAATCACATACAAGAAGATTACTGGAGCTGTCTACAAGCATACCATTCGGCCCGATAAATTGTCCGTCTTCATTACCTGCTTTCCCAAACTTGTGTAAGAAATTTCCTGACTGATCGAAAGTTTTAATGCAGTCATTTTCGTTATCAGATACGAGAAGCATGTTTTTGTAAGGAATGCAGCAAGTTGGCTTGTTGAGTTTCTCTGAGCCGCTATGTCCAAATATGGAAATAGTGTCACCCTCGTGTGACATCACCTGTATCCTATGATTGCCGTACTCGGTAACAACAATGTGGCGTTCTTCATTCAAACAAACATCAATCGGGTAATTAAACTCTCCTTTTCCTGCACCAAGTTTTCCAAAGCTTTTTACAAGCGTTCCTGTCTGGACATCAACGTGTTGTATTCTATTGTTCAATGCATCTGCAATCAGAATCTCGTTATCATTTAGATATGTAACGCCACGTGGGTACTTAAATTGCCCGGCTTTGTTTCCTTGGCTACCAATATATGCAACGCCACGTGGGTACTTAAATTGCCCGGCTTTCTTTCCTTGGCTTTTATCGAATATATAAATACAGTGTCCACCGTTATCTGTTATGGCAATCTTCCCTTTCATATTTATAGCGATTCCATGTGGAGCTTGTAGCTTACGTCCTTGAAAAAACTTCAAGTCCAACTCACCGACTACAACAAGTTCACGTTGTTGCACCTGCATAGTAAAAGGACAGGTCGGAAGTTTATCGCCATTGATCTTCACTTCAATGCTGTAGGCGCCCGGCACTTTGGGTGTAAACTTCACGTGGAATTTACCGTTTTCTTTCTCACTAACAACCACATTTGTGACGTCATTAGTGGGGTCTATCAGAACTTCAATTTGATGTTTGATATCAGACTGGTTACTTATTTCCCCCTCAGGTGTTTTGGGGGACAATATCAATTCTGCTTCTACACCAGCCTGAAGAGTTTGACCCAGTCCTTCCAGAGTGGACTGATTTAGATCCAGTCCCTCGGTGGCAATATCGCCCAGTCTCCAACCCTCAGAAGCCGCGGTAAATTTGATGAATGAGGTCTGGTGATGTTTTGGAACTTCAATTCCACGAAGCTCTTTAGATCTCTGTTTCAAAGTTCCTTTGCTCTGCATGACATCCGAGCTTGAGCTTCTCTGTACCAGATTATTAGCAAACTCAACCGCTTGCTTCATTTGTTTGAGCAAGGACTGTGCTTTCTCCATAGCTGAGTTAATTCTCTCGAGTCTCGTCACGCGTGTCGTCTCGATGGATACAATCTCCTCTCGCTCGCGCGCTCGAATCTCTGCGATCCTTTGTTCGGCTGCTTGCGAGACTCCACGTTTAGCGGTCGCCACGTTGTTTTCCAGCTTC